TAATCGACTAGTATGGTAAATAATAAATTATTTTAGTCAAGGTGTAAATTATGTTTGCTTACCGAAGATTTAGCTACAAACCAAAGATTGTTACAGTCAAGAAGTAGTTGACATTCACTGAAGAGTTTTGATGCCGATGCTTTGAATTTTGTTGAGCATGTTTCACATGTTACTACCATATTGTTGGTTATGGCTTTTGTTTGAGATAGGTTGTTCCATTCGATGAGTTTCCTGCAATTGATGCACTTCATTGTAGTCTTGAACTCCTTCAGCGCGTTGATTTTGGTTGCAACATTAGTGATGCATTGGTGGCTGCGTTTGCTTGGGCTTGTTACTAAAACTGCTGGTAATTCTCCAAATTCGTCTTCAGTGGTAGAAATTATCGTCTCTCCGACTGTGGTGAGTTGACGTACATCTCTGAACTTGGAGTTTCGCGCGTTTTCTATAGTTATGGTTTGTCCCTTGTTAAATGACCAAGTGTTGGCTCTTTCACGCCAAAGAACCAAGATAATGATTCCGGTGTCATCTTGTAGAGTTATTTCTCTCTTTTGATGATTGTTGGGATATGTGCCAACTGTTTCAATTTCTCCAACCTCTGCCACTTGTGCTTTCAAATTCACGAAGGCGATATTATGCGTTTCGTTCCTGCTAATTTGGGAAATTTTGAACCACTTTCGCTCGATGGTGTATTGGAACGAGGAAATGGCAACTTGTGTGTTCTCGGTAATGAGAATCTCTGGGTTAATTCCAAGGCCTTTCTTGATGGCAAAGGAGACAAGGTCGTACGTTTTACCACACAGGTTCATGTTGTTATGCATTCATTGCAGATCAGATTGATGAATGGGAAGGATAGGTTTATCCAGACTTTGAATTGCTTTATATTTCTCACTTTATGTAGTCCATAATTTGCTTCTGTCTGATTTTGTGTAGGCATCTTAGTCCATTTTTATTCATTCAATGGTTTGTATCCACTTTTCTTATGTCAAGTTTGAATCAGAAGATGTAATACATTGGTATCCATATAGGGAGGAATTAATTTGCAGTAACCTGTATTATAATTCCTTTGCTATAGTGTAGCCTTATAAGCCTCATGTTATGCATTCATTGTAGATCATCTCCACAGTTTGTCAAGGATAGCTTGCTCAGACTTCACTGACAGACTTTTGTTTGCATGTTCCAAACTCATAGTGCTTGATCATTGGAAATTAAGGTCCATAGAATATACGATTGTAGGAAGGTGTTAAAATATAGTGTCTAGCAGAATGCTCTTGGTAATCTGCAGCATGAAGTAATTTCTTTAATCATGTATAACCTGATATGGTCGTGCCTTTGCGTCCAATAAGTTGTTTCATAGAGCAAATTTGTTTGTTGATCAAAATTAAGTTGGCTTTATATTTAAATTATCTTGATGCGTAATGCTCACTTTCTGTAGTTGCATGGACTGATCAGTTAAGTTGATCATCTTCACAATTAACTCTTTTTTTTCTATCTTTGGTTGATGGATATATGTTTTGCATATTGAATATAACTGTATAATATTTGTCTTAAAAATGTTGTCATTTGCTTATGTCTAGAATTATAAAGTATTTACACAATCTATTCTATTTCATGTTACAGCCGTTTGTAAAAATTACGAAAATTGTCTAAATATCTAAATATCATAATACCTATTATCCATTCTATCTATTATCCGGAACACGCAGGTTTGCTAGAATAATTGATTGTTGGCATGAAAATGTTCAGAACTACGCATAAGTTTGTCACCAAAAAAAAACTGATTAAACTACAAATTAAGACAAGGAACTAAGGGCATCGTGTGGGATTAGCCATCACGCATTTGATATTATAATGATATTTCTCAACAATTCTCAATAATTATTGCAAAAGGTTGTATACTTATATTGTTTCTTGCTTTTTATAATTTGAAAATGATTGTTGGAATCAGAATACCTTCCAAGCATTTTTCTTCAATTTATACATGCATAATTATTATCTGAGAAATGTGGATCTGTTGAGAGAAATTTCGTTGTTATTAAAACTTAGATTAGGGTTGATATGATATGTATGTTTTTGCATGGTTAAAAAGAGGAAAGATAAATAGAACTTACCGTACAAGAAGATGAATATCTTGATTTGTCTATGTGAATAGAAATACCGTACAAGGCATTCAATCAGCCTTGTAGCATAAATTTTCAGTGACAATGGATTTGTTGTTACAGTATACAATAGAATAATTTGTTTTTTAAAATCCCCAAATAAAAAAGTGCACTTTCCTATAATTTGATGTATAACTAAAGTTATAACACGTGTTATGAATCTACTTAAGTATCTTGTCAGAATGTCCTATCAAAAACTGTAGAATATTCTTGGCCATGATATACACTGGTATTCCGTTTTTGCAGAAGGTTAAGTCCTTATAGTAAAATTGTATCCTGTTTCTATATGACCAGTTTTTGAACATTGATAAATGTTTAGTAGTGACATCAAACTTGTATAATTTCCATACAGTTACAACTATCAAATGATAAAGGTAACATACACGTATTTAAATTAGTGAAGAGTGTACATAGATTGTACATAGGTTGTTTTCGAGATTTGTTTTGAAATCGAATTGCTACTCAATTACATTACATATAGCACCCTTAATCTTTCGTTGTTGCCCTTTTGGCATTACAACTACTTTCTCAAAAACAATTCTGTTGTGGTTTGCAGTTAAGCTTTATTTAACTAAACCGAGTATACATGAATGGAAAGATGGCTGACTCGAAAACAACGCACGAGGCACAGACTGACATGCGCAATAAAGACATACGTATATGACCGGAAATAACACACCGGAAGTAAAACTATAACATCCCCCTTACTAAAGAAAAAAAACAACATGTTTACAATTATATATGAATAATAAAAGCATAATTGGGGATGGAAGCAAAATGTCCTAAACAAGTCACGTTGTACAGTAAATGTATAGCAAACATGCTATAAGTTCAGTTTATCAGGTGGCTTCACTAGACGAGTTGATCTTCGGACAGGTGGAGTGGGTGGTGTTGTATCCTTGGGCTTAATAGGACTGCTTGGTGTAGGTTGCTCCTGTTTTATGTTAGGTTTGTTGTCCACTGCTAGATCGTCAGATGTCGTCGGTGTTGGCAACGCTGGAATATAAGGTTTGACTGTTTCACTAGTAGGGCGTATGTGTCTACGGTTTCTCGTTAAGGTCCCGCCTCTGCTCATGTTGACGGTGTAAGAACGAGGTGTCGTTGAGGTAGCTTGAACAGTCCCTGCTTCCCACTTAGAGTTGAGAGGGTTGTACACTCTGAATGCATCCTGTGGGTAGACCGGTGGTAGCGCTCTCGAAGTCTGGTCATAGTGGTACTTCTGACGATCCTGTTTGTKCTGYAGCTTCGTGTTAGCATCATAGTCAGGTCTGTCAGACATAGCATGCTTGGATATGGCTGGAAGATTTGACTGGTATCTTCTAGAGTTTAGCAGTTCTGCAGGCGATGGAAGGTTGTGGTCTAGTGGAGTTGTGCGAAGACATAGCATTGCAAGGTGTGGATCTGCACCWGATTCCTTRCAYTTCTGTAACAAATTCTTAACAGTCTGTACAGTTCGCTCTATAAAGCCGTTGGATTGCTTGTAGTATGGGCTTGTAGTGACATGAGYAAAACCATACGCACAGCTMAAATCCTTGAATAAAGCGGAGGTAAACTGCGTGTCATGTCCTGTGACAAGTTTGTCTGGGATCCCATGTTCTTCAAATATACCTTTAAGGTGTGCGATGACAGTAGATGATTGAATGTTGTTCAGCTTGCGCACAATGGGAAATTTGCTGAAGTAGTCAGAGATGAGTAGATATGSTGAACCATTCCAAAAGAACAGATCAGATCCTAAAGTATGSCARGGCTTGGATGGAATATCGTGAGGCATAAGCGGTTCCTTAGTATTCATAGGCTGATTGTGTTGACATGNTCTCGCAACTTTTTGCCACCCGTCCTGTGTTGAACCTTTGGGCGTATTTATACCACTCTTTTACAAATTTACATTTCAAAGGGTTACATAATCCTATTATGCTTTTACAAAGACAGTAAGTACACAACTACAAGTACAGCTAATGAAACAATGTTAATGAATCCTAAGTTAAAAAAAACAAAATATCTTTACACCTTCCCCCTTAAGACTATTTATCAATCTACTTAGATTATTAAATATTGCAACAAAAAAAACTAAACAAATTGAATGCAAAAATGTGCTTGACTAGGGTTAGAAGATACTGATCTCCAAGAAGAGACACCCGAGGCATGGCCCTGCGCGTCGAGTTGAATCGAGCAATCTAACTTCAGAAACTTCCAAAGACTTCCTCCCCAATTTTTGTCATCGCTTTCTTTCGTTTCCCCTTTCTACTCACTTTCGTTCAGATTTTTTTTTTCCTTCCTATTCCCTCACTCACAATAATGTATTCTTTACTCACAACCTACAACCGGCTTAGCACATCCACATTCACATTTTCCTTCCCACGTTTATGTTGGATTTCCATGTCGTACTCTTGAACTGTTAGACTCCACCTTAATAACTTTCTGCTTTTGTCTCTTACTCGAAAAAGCCAGGTCAGCGGATTGTGGTCAGTCTGCAAGATAAAATGTCTTCCAAATAAATAATACCTAAACATCTCTAGAGACCAAACAATCGCAAGACACTCTTTTTCCGTTGTAGAAAGTTTCTCTTCCCGTGGTTGAAGTTTTCTGCTTGCGTAGACTATAGGGTGCTCATCTTCGTTTTCATCCTTTTGTGTCAATATGGCACCAAGACCTCGATCTGATGCGTCTACCTGAACTATGAAATCTCTACTCCATACAGGCGGTGCAAGAACTGGACTCCCTGCCAAAGCACCTTTTAAATCATTGAACGCTGATTCACACTCTTCCGTCCACGTGACGTTGGTGGGCAGTTTTCCTCGAGTTAAATCACTTAAAACTGCTGCGCGCTGAGAAAAGTTTTGGACAAATTTCCTATAATATCCAACCAAGCCTAAAAAGGACCTTACCTGCTTCTTAGTAGTCGGTCGTGGGAACTCCTTAATTACCTTAATAGCGGTATCCTTAGGATTAATTCGTCCGTTTCCAACCTGATGTCCGATAAAGGTCACAGTTGACATGGCAATTCTGCATTTGGTAGGTCTGGCATGGAGGCAAAACTTACGAAGTCGTTGTAGCACGAGACGTAGCTGTCTTACATGCTCTTCAAATGAACTCGGCGTATCTATTTCTATGTCATCAATGTAAGCATCAGTAAAACTCTCCAATCCCTTCAAGATTTTTTCATTCATCATACGCTGAAAAGTAGCTGGCGCAGTTTTCATCCCAAATGGCATTACCAGAAATTCATACAGATTTTTGGATGTTCTGAACGCAGATTTTTCAATTGTACTCTCATCTAGGGGGATTTGATAATACCCTTTTGTCAAATCTAAAGTGGAGATATACCGTGCAGCACTTACCCTTTCTATCAGCCGGTCTGTTCTGGGCAAGGGAAAAGCATCCATTTTTGTCACCTTGTTCAACTTCCGGTAATCAACGCACAGTCTGATACTCCCATCAGGTTTAGGTACTATGACAACACCCGACGACCAGGGACTTTGGGACGGTCTGATAACATTCATCTCGAGCATCTTGTTTATCTCGTCTTGTACAGCGGCCTCGAGTTTCTGGGGCACTGTATACACGGCACTACGTATGGGCTGAGCATCGCCAGTATCAATCTTATGCACTGCTGCATTGGTGCGGTTTGGCCTTCCGGAGAAAACATCTGAAAACTCTTCCAGGGTCTTCTTGATTTCCATTTTCTGATGCTCGTCAAGATCTCCTGAAATAACTACATCATGCCATGTTTCAACGCAAGTGAGCTCTGGCAGACATTTTTCATGCGGTAACGCCATTTCGCGCGATTCTTCGAGAACAAAAGCAGATAGTTCATTTCTACTCTTCCAGCGACTAAGTATGTTTACATTGTAAGTTCGTACGATCTGCCCTCCTGTTTTACTCCAGTAATTGTATACGGCCCTTGCCACTTGGTTTCAAGCTTACTTCCAGTCGTTGGCAAAAAAACAAGTACTTGATCCCCGACACTGAACTTACGTTCTGAACTCTTCTTGTCGTACTGTTTCTTCTGTTTAGACTGGTTCTTCTTCAGCACATCAAAAACAACATTTTGCACGGTTAACAGTCGTTTACGCATTTCTAAAACATGTGATACTAAGTTAGTATCTTGTACAGGTGCCTTTCTCTCTGTCCATGTTTCCTTGATGATAGCTAGTGGACCCCTTACTCTGCGCCCATAAAGAAGTTCAAAGGGGGAGTATCCCGTAGAGGCACAGGGAACCTCTCTATAGGCAAATAATAAATAAGGAAGGTACTTATCCCATTGACTTACATTCTCAGTCACAAACTTACGTAGCATTTGCTTAAGTGTCCCATTAAATCTCTCCACAAGCCCATTTGCTTCGGGATGATACACAGGTTTTAATGCGCGTGATCCGCAGTTGTTCATAAAGTTGAGTCATAAGTGTACTTATCAAATTAGACCCCTGATCCGATACTATCTCCTCCGGTATACCTACTCTTGAAAACAATAATATCAGAGCGTCTGCTATAGTCTTAGAGCTTGTGTTTTTTAGAGCGAAGGCTTCTGGGTATCGTGTTGCATAGTCAATTGTCGTTAGTATATACTTACAGCCATTCTTGGACCTGGGAAGTTCACCCACAATGTCAATGGCGATCTTGCGGAATGGTTCTGTCACTATAGGTATCGGTTTTAATGGAGCTCGGAACCCAGTCATCTTCCTTGCCACCATCTGACAGTCAGCGCGCGTTGAGCAATACTTACTAACGTCAAATGATAGTTTAGGCCAATAGAAGTGTGCACTTATTCTGGCTGTGGTTTTCTCTTTACCCAGGTGCCCCGACAATGGTACGTCATGAGCTATCCTGAGGATTTCCTGTCGGTAGGACTCCGGTACAACAATCCTATCACTATAAGGAGTTAACTCATTCTTATCAGTAGAAAATGTGCGATGCATTAACAATTTGTTTTGGTAATGATACCCATCTTTCTCTGTTGGGGCATCCTTAGTGGCTATGCTCCTACAGTGCGATAGCGTGACGTCATTTGATTGGTCTAAGATTACCTGACTGATATCTCTATCTAATATGTTCAGCTCCCTTACCTCACCCGTCTCTGACTTTGAAGCCAGCGTCTTCACGGCGACAGTGTTTTCTCGGTCCATCACCTCTCCTCTACGAGTGGTTATGAAAGCAGAGCACTCTGCTCCCCAATGCTGAAGTAAATCATCTCGGGTAAATATCCGACCATACGATGATCTGCCTAAAAGAGAATCAACTGGTAGGTTTTTAACAACTCCCACCAATTCATTATGCTCAGTTTCACCTATTCTAATCTTTACCCACGCGAGTGGCACTATAACCCTTTCACCTGTAGCAGTTGTCACGCTCTCGGATAATTCCTTAGCATCCTCTACAAACCTACGATTGACCAACGTCCGGCTGCATCCAGTGTCAACAAGCATCTCTGCGGGTTTCCCTTCGATAGACCCACGAATAACATGCTCTGGAAATTGTCTTTCCCTTTGCAAAGGTGTAAGACATAAGAAACTCGTCCAAGGGCGCGTTGGCTTTGGTGTTCATGTTGTCTTACTTTGTTTAGAGCAATTAATAGACATATGACCAAACTCTTGACACTTATAACACTTACCTCTGAAACCGTGTTGAGATTTTCTTTCCTCTTTACGGGGTGTAGACGTTTGCGTGCTTGGACTTTCAGAAGTTCCTTCACGTTGTGCTTTTGCGAGAGCCGTCGGTCGCCTAGGCCTCGGTTTCTCTGTTGAAACGTATTTCCCTTCTACCCATGGTCCTTTCCTTGCTTGAACATGCTCATTGGCGATCTTAGCTATCTCTTCGGCTGTGCCGGGTTTTAACTCCTTTAACCACGCACACAATTCTGGACTTACTGCGTCTAACATTCTCTCCATTGTGATCTGTTCCAATATCAAGTCTGCCTTCCCTGTTGCCTTTGCTACCAGCATCCATCTATGTAGATATCTTCTTGTCCTCCTGGCCCATTGAACAAAATCCTCATCCATGGCTTTCTCTGAGTGGCGAAATTTATATCGGTAATGGTCTACAGTGAGCTGATATGACTCCAATATAGCGAGCTTGGTTAAGTCGTAATCCTGTGAATCTGGATCTTTAATCTCAAGATAGACGGATTTCGCTCGTTCGCTCAACCTTGGGATGAGATTTCCAATCCAGTCAGCTTTGGGTATATGCTGTGACTTCGCAGTCATTTCAAACACCCTAAAAAAGTCATCGATATCTTCATTTTCTCGCATGTCCCTCATCTTTATGGAGACGGATTTCTGTGCAGATGTGACAGGCGGTTGTTGCGCTTCAAGCCTTTTCATTTCAAGCTGTAGAGATAAAAGTTGTAATTGCCTCTCATCCTCTTCTCTCTTTGCCTCTCTCTCTAGACGTCTTTCCTCCCTTTCCTCCCTCAAGCTTTCAATCTCCTCCTGTTTCATCAATCTCTGTAATTTCAGAAGCTCAAACTGCTCTCTAAAACTCTCCGACCCCACATCATCTCCCCTTGCAGCCTCCAAATCCTCCTCAGTTTCTTCATAACCCCCATTCCTATCATTGACCCTTAACTTACTACATAAATTTCTCCTTCCGTCCTTCTCATTGAAAGCTAGCCCTCTGTTTATACATTCTTTCCTTAAGTCCTCTAAAGAGAGTTCTTCGTACGGCATGACTTGGCACTAGTATTTCTACGTCTGACTTGTGTCCGCCCAGGTGTATAATCCCACTTCTGACACCAAAATTGTGACCGACCTAATCCGTACACCTCGGCCCAACCCCCGGACACAGAGCCTTCCCGTAGATTACTGCACACAATCAGACACATACGCAATCTATTTATTGAAATAAGCGAAAAAAATTTATTTATAACGAATATAATGAAGGCGAGATACGCCGGGAAAACGATTTCACCCTAGAGGTGATAACTATTATTGTAACTCAAGTACTT